AATAAACTGGTGCCTTGAATAATAACTGTGAAAAACCTTCTGCTACCTAAAAATTTGCAGATTAATAAAGAACCGCTTATAATATTAGCTCTCTTCTATTCATACTGAACTAGGTGCAATATAGATAGTCTTGCTAGTAGCTTCTATAAAGTCAAGAATAAGGATACATTTAGATAGTAAAACAGTAATAGAAGATATTCTTAGCTCTAAAAAGTGATCAAGTATAAGAAGTATCTTCAAAACTAAGAACCATAATTTAATTAATCAGGTTGTAAAACTAAAAACATCGATTTAAAGTTGATCAAAGTTAAAAGATATAGTATAAATCTTTGGAATGATAAAGCAGATAAACTTATAAAAGAAGGACTACTATCTAATTTTACCTTAGAGGTACAAAATATAATGACAAGCAGAATAAAAGTAGTGCTAACTTGAGAAAGCAAACTAATAGATAGCTTTCTCAGATCTTTTGTTAATTTAACTCTATTAATAATATATGAATATGAATGAGCAGATCTTAAAAACATTAGACTACTACTAAGTCAAAGGTATAACTCATTTAATAATAAAGGTTTAAACTGGAAGAATACTTGGAACATGCTAAAAAAACTGCAAGAAAGAAAATATAATAGCATTAAAAAGAGTAAAGTTCTGATTTTTAAGATAAAATATATAAATAAGTTACTACTAACTAAAGACTTATGCTATCTAAGAAATCCAGAGCTTTACAAAACCAAAACCTGTATTGCATATATCACAAAAGAAGAATCTTTAGAGCATATTGCTGAGTATTAGATATATCAAATAATATAGAATAGGATAGAAAAATTTATTATTAAAGAGTTAAAACCAAAATTATATGACAAATAGAATATACTAGTCTTAAGTCAAACCCTAAAAAGGGTATTCTTAGATCAAGACACTACAGATATACTGAATAAAAGGAGGTTGTATATCTGAGGTCTAACTAGTAACAATCTCATATCAAAAATTAAAAACTTTTTAGAATTAAATTCTAAAGCTTACAAAGCTATATATTAGTTCACAAAGTTTTTTTGGTCTAACTTTTTTAAGAAGTTATAGAAGTTTCATTGTGAGATTATAGCAGAAAAACAATATTAATACTAAAATAAAGAAAAGAAAACTAAAATGAAAACACAAGAAAATTCAGAACAATAACTAATTAAACAAAGAAAACTAGAACCCTAATGAAAACAGGCTTAAAGAGTCAAACAAAAATAAAGAAACAAGATACTAATATATAGCTAAAACTAAAGTTAGATTATAGATTGAAGAAAAACTAAAAGAAAGCTAACTAAGCTTTAAAAATAACTAAGGAATCTTAATACAAATACAAAAAAGCCTTCTGTAGACTATTAGAATAGGTATTTGCTTAGGCAAACTACTCTTTTAAAAGGAAAATCTACTTTTGCAGCAGATCGTACTTAGGCATTTAGGATAGCTAAATGAGTCTAGAATTAAACAAAAAAGGTAATTTAGTAACTAGATTAAATTAAATTATATTACTATAATAATATTTTAGTATATTTTCTCTTAATAAATAAAGGACAAAATCACCTAAGTTAAAAAAAAATAAATAATTAAATTATTAAATAAAAATATAAAACAAAAAAAAATATATATAAAAAATATAAAAAAATATAAAAAAAAATATAAAAAATATAAAAAAATATATATATAAATCAAAACCTATTTAAGATTGATTTTAGTTAGCTACTTGACTAAGTTTAGTTAACTAATTAGTTGACTAAACTTAGTAAAATAGTTATCTAACAATTTTTACTAAGTTTAGTTAACTAATTAGTTAACTAAACTTAGTAAAATATTTAGTTGACTAGAAATTCTATTGAACTTAAACATGTTCATAAACTTTTAAATTGAACTCAAACTAAACTGAACACAATAAAAAAAATCGAACCTGAACTCGAATCTGAACATATTTTCAATTTTGTTCGAGTTCAGGCTCAGTTCGATTTTCAGACTAAACTCAAACTTGATAGAAGTTCAGTTCAGTTTAGTTTAGTAGAAGTATTAGTTTGAGTCTTAATTCTTGTAAACAAATTTGTAAATTTTAAAAAACTTATTATAAAATCTTGTACAAATTTCAATAAAGATAAAGGCAAAACCTCACCTTAATATTAAAAAAAAAAAAAAAAAAAAAGATTAACTAATCAAAACAAACTTCTACTATACTTTAAACTATATAGTTTTAGTTAGTTAGCTTAGCTAGCTAACCAAAACAGCAACTAAGCAACTTATATTAGATTTTTACTTATACTAGCTATACTAATTCTTAATTCCGGCTACTAATTTTTAAACCGGTCTAACTAATTTCTAATTCTGAGCCAAACTAATTCTTAATACCGGGCCAACTAATCCTTAATGCCGAGCCTAACTAATTCTTAATGCCGGCCTAACTGATTCTTAATGCCGGCCAAACTAACTCTTAATGCCTGGCCTGATTAATTAATTCTTAATGTTGGCCTGCTTTAGCCACATTAGCCAGCCGACCATATTTTATCGGCTGGCTTAACCGGCTAAGCCGGCTTAGCCGCGGCTGCTTTAGCCGGCTTAAAACACTATCGCTAGATATACCTGATACCAATTATACGTACCATTTTTGCTAACCGTAATACAGTTATTGTACCATGCATACGTATTAATATTATACCACGGTATATCAACGCCCATATATATATATATCATATATGTATACGTATACGTATACGTATTTATTTATTTATTTACCGTAATACTCTTAACTTTTTTAATAACGTTGAAAAAATGACAAATGACGCTCTGTTCGAAGCTACAATTACAATTCGAATAATTAAGAATTTTGAATATCGAACTGTTAAAAATTTGGTTTTACGAAATATCAACTTAGAAACTACTACAGTTGGTGAATTAAAAAATATTATAAGAGAAAGTATTTATGCAATTATTTATAAAATTATTCTGCTTTTAAATCATAACGTTATTTAATAAATCTATTAATTAATAATTTAGAGATAAATGAAACGTCCGCATTTAAACCCTTTCGGAATGTAAATTATGGTATTAAAAACTATTAATAATTATATTCCATCATAAAAAATGTTTTAAAATTTTAATTTCAATTCTCTTTTAAAGATACATTAAAACTTTACACAAAAGCTCATGGATCAAAAGTAATCAATTAATCATATTGGATTTTTTTCTATTTCGCGGTAATATTAACATATTCTATTGCATTTAATCGATCTAGACTCAGAATTTAATAATAAATCTTGATAACGATGATTGGATTTTGAATGATGAAACTACATTAATATCTTGTAATATAGGTTTGTAATATTTCACTGTGATTTATTAACAATTTTTTTATCCTCACTGTATTATAACTTTAATATATATATATTATTTAATTAGAGAATGAAACAGAATTGTCTTTTTTTAATCGTGAAGCTTACGAGGTTTATAAAACACACCCTGATGTTATGAAATGGGAATGAATGAATAGTTAGCAGCAATAATTAGTATTGTCACTAGTCTATAGGTAAAAATTTAAAAAAATTTGCCATAGCATCTATTTTGATAAATGTTTAAAATTTGGTTTAAATTTCGAACGAAAAATAAATTTCACGGAATTTGGTTTATTATGTTGAATTTTTTAAAATCTTGAATGAAAATATCTCAATAAAACATGAACAAAATCAATAATTTGTTTTTTAATTCGAAAATAAAAATTTTTTTGCCGAATTTGGTTTAAATATTTTCGATCGAAAGTTTTAAAAATTTTGGTACAGTTTCTATTTTGATAGAAGTTTTGAATTTTTAAAACTTTTTTAAAATATCTTATAAAAACAAATTCAATGAAATGATGAATGATTTGGTAAATAAAATTTGAGCAAATCATTTATGTGATATAGCATGATTATTGAGAATAAAAGTGGTTTTTTGATCAGGAATTTTAAGTCCGATAATAAATTGCTTATTAATCTTATAACGATATAACTTGATCACATTGTTATCACTGCTTCAACTGGATATTTTCGCCCATATTTACCGATTTTACCAACTTTAATATGTTAATTCAACAACCATTTTTTTGAATCCATTATCATTAAATAAAGCTGCTGCCGAATATAAAGAAACACAATTTTTCTTTTTCATTTAACATGAAAATCACGATTTTTTCAAGAAATGCTCGCAACTCAAAATTTTGTTTATGAAACTACTTTCTGCGTTCTAACAAAAAAAAAAAAAAAATTCCTTGCAAAATTTTGGGTTAGGAACGTCTTCGCTACTGTATTGCACATCGCTAACCCTAACCCTAATGTAACCTTGGCCCTAAACTTGATGCGTCGTTGTTTTTTTTACGTATTGTTTTTGGTCGGTCATATGACTAGCGATGCATCGCACTGGATAATTATCTAATTTATATAACAAAATTTGTTTAGGCGTCACTTTTACATACGTCGCCAAGGAACTTTAATCAAGAAAAAACCATCTTCGTCAAAGATTTTAAACTCCAAATACAATACCGCTTTAGAATTAAATGCTAACAACATTTGAGCGAAAGTTAAGAGATGATAAGTATTTGTTGTTTTTTGGGCTTCTCGATTTTTTTTCATCTTCCATGAAAGCTTTTAATGCGAGAAGTAAAATTATAATTCGTTGGATGGCAATTCTGTTTGAGCGATCTCTTTGAATACTTAATTGGTTGTAAATTTTTCAAAGGCAGGTATAAAAAAAAGGTCTGTTGTAAAAAGTTTGTTGATTGAAATGACAAACTCTTTTAATACCTTTTACTAATAAAAAATGATTTATTTACATAATAAACTTTATCAAGTTATGCTTATTCATTGTAATTATAAACTCACTTAAGGCTACTCTAATTTAATTTTCTGTTTAACATAACATAAAGTAGCTTATGATACATAGTGGGAGGGAGGGTATTAAAAATACACAAAAATACCAATACTGCAATGTTATTGGTTGATTTAACATGTATTAGTTATACTGTATAAAATTTAAAAACTGAGGGGCAAATACTATTAATTACTATTAATGTTTATATAAATTTTGAAAAATGGGGGGTGGTTATGTTAAACGAAGAATTGTTTTCCTCTAAATAAAATTTACTCCCCGACACTTTTTGACCCTTTGATTGAGGTGATTGAGAACGCCCTCAAAATGTTGTACGTAGGTGATTTCGAAATAAGCTTAATATTCATGCATTTGGCGGATTATTTCCAATGCTGGTACCAGGCATAAGCTTTTCGTGGTAATTTTGATAGAATGGTTTGACCAGTATCACAGGTGGGAATGTTTATCTACAATAGAGCAGTAGTGGTTGATGCAGGCCGAAGCGTAACGATCTGGTCAATCTAGATAAATATCCGGTTTTCTTATCCTTTAATCCTTCCTTTATTGTATCTCTTATTAACTCCTTAACTTCTATTAAGTTTCTGCAGGGGTTCCTAAGTCTCAGGTTCAACAATACACGGCTTTCGTTATTTGTTATGGATTCAAACTTCAACGATTATCATGTGATTCGGCTAAACGTCAAGAATAAGGTTCGTGATAATTTATTTAACAATATTTAACTTCAAGGTAAGGTATTTATAAAGAACGTATTTAATAATTTTAATATTTATTAAAACCCGAAGGATTCTGTATGTTTTTCCTCCAGAAAAAAATACAGTGTTTTCAATAGCAACATGTTTATATCGCAATATATTACAATATGTTGATATCGCGATATGAAGATTAAAATTTATGTCATCGTTTTTCCAAATCACGTTTTCCACATCACGACTTCTTCACACCAGGTTGATAAATTACGTTAAATTTTTCGATCACTCAAATTGTTGTTTTTTCTCTAAATGTATCATAATACGTTAGAAGCTAATTTCAAAATAAAATTCTTACATAATTCTTAATGGCATTAAGATTCACGGTGTCGGCACGCCACTGCATACAGTATCGGATATGACAAATTTTTTAAAATGCTATTTATATATACATGTAATTTTTGTTATGCGGAGGTTTTATATACCTTCTAAATCTTTGTAGAACTTTCTTTGGCTAAACACCCGCTCACGAAAATCAGACCAGGACAATAGTTCATCGATGCATGTAAATAGATTTAGAAATAAATTAATTTATTAAGGACTAAATAAAAAGGACCTTTATTCACCATTAAGTTTTCTATCACGTTCTTTCTCCGGATATAGTTCTTAGTTTCTTTATTAGTATTTAAATCACGAATTTGTTTCACTTGTTTAACGAATTTAGTAAATGAATTTAGCATAAATTCTTCAGATTTAAATACGAATTTGATTCGAATTCCTATGTCAGTTTGGACAATTTCACCATTTATCTCGATATGACTTTCTTTGAAAATAAACTTTTAATAGGAATAAGTTCATTTCTTTTAGTACAACTTGTAAGAGTGAGGTGGTAAACCGGCAATTCAATTATAATGTATATATTTTTTTTTGTCAAATTCATAAGGAAAATATTTAGTAATCTTATCTATTTCAGCAAATATTCTCTCCCCTTCAAGTTTTTTTTTAATATTTATATTAGGATTATCAAAGAGGATATTTAATTTCTTATTTGATTTATTAACCTTTCACAATTTAAGATTTATTTTCAACTAATTCATCTTTAATATTAAGCTTTTATAATATATTATTGATTACTTGTTCATATTCTTTAATCAAAATTTCTTTTTCTTTTATCTTTTTTTGTTGATTTTGAATTGTTGTCTCATAGGTTTGATTTGTTAATAGTAACTATTGACAATTAGTTGTTAAATTTTAATTTGATTTTTTTTAATTCAGTATTCTCACTTGATAATTAAATATTATTTTATTCAAGTTTTCAATAATTAATTCTTTGCTAACTAATTTTTTACCAAGATCATTATTTTCTATTTTTAAATTCTCTATTTTATCTAAGATTTTTTTGCTCTTTTGAGAGTAAGTTTAATATTTTAATTTATTTAAAAAAACAATATATTTATAATTCAATATTAATTTGCTCTATTAATATTTCAGATACTAATGAGTTATCAAGTAATTTTTATTGCTATAAATTTTTTTTAAAAATTTAATTTTCTTTCTTTAAAATTAAAATATCAAATTCTAATTGTCATATTCTTCTTTTATAACTATATATTATTGAGTTCAATTTTTTAATTTTATTAAATAGTTAATATTAAAATAAAAAAATTTTATCTGCTATATATCAATTTATTTTTCATACAACTATTTAGAAATTTTTTTGAGTTTTTATATTTTATTTTTTTTTGCTTACATAACAAACATTTTGTGTATTTGTAAAAAATCTTTTTTTCTTTTTCAATTATCCTATATTTAATAAATTTAATAAGAAATTTGATAAATTCTTGTTTAGTTTTTAGATTTACAAAAAATAACTTGAATTATTTATATATTTTAGAATTATTAAACTTTTTATATTTATAGATTTATATTAATTACAAAAAAATACTAAGATCAAATTTAAAAAAGAATATTCTAGATCTTTTAATATGAATTCTGTTTTATTTTAATAATTAAATTTTAATTTATTTTAAAATATTCTAGAATATTTTATTATTAAATCATATATAAGTTTAAAAATATTCTTAAAACAAAATTTTAACTAATTAGAATTCAATATATTATCAAAAATAAGTTTTAAAATTTGATTAATATTTATCAAAAATCTTTACTAAGTAATAATATCAAAAATTATTTTTGTTATCTTTAAATTATATATAAAATAATTTTTATATCTGTGGGTTGATAGCATAGTAGTTAGTGCTTCTAGGTTATAATCACAAGATCATAGATTCGAATTCAACTAGAAGACAAGACTTTATCAGAACTATGATTAAAAATAAGATTTTTGAAGGACTTTTCTATTGATAAAGTATTTGGAGCTTTTTGTATTCTATATTCTTTTTCTGATATTATCTGTTATTCTATATCTTCATACTATACTTGATTTTAAGACTTTGTGCTTTTTGACTAAATTCTCTGTAGATTTTCATTTTTGTCTATGAATTTTCTGATTTTAGACTTGCATACTACTTTTCTATTAGATATGATATGGCACATCTTGTTAGTATTTGTTTACATATTTGTTTGTTTTCTTTTTTCTATATGTTTGTATTATGTAAACAGATCTGCAATTCAAGATAAGATCATATCCCTAGATTTTTTAAAAAAAAGTTTTTTGTAGCAACTTTTGAGATGAAATCTTCTATATTTCTTTAAGTTGCTAGTATTTTTTCTGTTCTTCTTAATATATTATTTGTATTTTAGTATCTTCTTTCTTTTTTCTTAATGGATCTTAGTCTTATTCTTAGTAATAATTCTGTTAAAAACTTGACTTTTTTTTAGCTTTAAAAATAGTCCAAATGATCTACAAAAAGAGTATATTGCTATATGTATATTTTTGTATATATATTTTAAAATACTATTCAATTTGAATAATT